CTACACGTCACCTTACAGCTCAATTCTCCCACCTATATGTTTCCATCTTTCATTTTCTTCAATTCCAGTTTCATGAGAAAAAGGATTGGCCTAGCTTTTTTCAAGCCAGATCACTAGCTATAGTATGGAAGGACTTTCCTTGGGTCAGATGGCTTCAATTGGTCGAAATTAGACCCTCATGCTCACCCTAGACCTACTAAATTAGAATTTACAATTTAATAGGATTCCCACGTGATTTGTATTCACACTGAGGTTTGAGAAGTGTGGCTCTAGGATAGGTTAGTTTGGTTCAGGTCTTTTAAGTTATCAAAGGCTTTTACTAGGAAACTTCCCATAGTGTGTTATAGCCATGTGAGAACCAAGTGCTAAATTGTCAGAATTTTGTGAATTGGTTGATTTTATGTTTGGGAGCTTGAAACCAGATATTGTGGGAATATTTATACCACAGAAATGAGTAACTACTACAAATTTGTTTCTTTTGTACCGGAGAGCCGGTTGTTAAACATTTACCAGCATTCCACTGGATAGTTTTAAATCTCCTAATTCAAGCTGGAATTAAAATGTTTCCTAGGGTTTGTGGGACACAGCAACTCCCATATTGGGGTAGATGTGAAGCAAAATAAAATGAGTTCTAATTCCTCACAAAATTTTCCACCTTATGATTAAGAAATAATTATTCTAGATAGACATTTCTTTATAAAAAAATAATCTGAGTCTGCAATAAACAAAAGGAGGGAAGGCAGTCTAGGTGATACTTAAAATCCAGATGGACAAATAAGCAGAGACCAGACATTCTCCCAGCTGGCAGTTGGACAGTTTTGGAGCTAAAACCGAAGTATGGAATAGCAGTTTCTATATAGAGGAGAAGATAAGACTGGGTAGATTCAGGTCCTAGAGACATATCACATACAGGAATTAATGCTTTTATTGCCTATATTATATTGAGCATAAAATTGTTAAACAAAACAACTCCTCCCCACATTAATGATAGGTATGGATGCAAATGTGTCATGGTATTTATTACATAGGGAGTGGTTTTTAAAGTGTGGTCTCTGGACAAGTACACCAGTTCTCAGCATCCCCTGAGAACCTATTATAAATACAAATTCATGGGCCACACCCAGGCCTACTGGGTCAGAAACTCTGGGGGCTAGAGCCCAGCAATCTATTTTACTCTGGGTGCTTCTGATGCCTATTATTGAAGTAGGGAATGTCATTGAGTGCCTTATTTTTGTTCAATAAAATAATTCATTTTCAACTTGAACCCAAAATAGGAAGTAACTCAAGAAGCAAGAGTTTCCAGAACAACTGAAAGATGGTTGAAGAAAGAGAGCAAGATCAAGAGAACTACAGAGCCAGGCAAATATTTAGAAACCTCTCCCAGGAAAGTTAGCCAAGCAGGCAGGAGGCTGGCATGTTGCCAAGACTCCTGGAAAGTATAAAACCTTCCTGGAAATCAACTGGGAAAAGTTGTGTTTAAAGTGAACCATAAGGAAGTACATAAACACTTTCTACAAATGCTAATGAAAGTTCTGATATAAAGAATGGGACATCCTAGCCCATGTATCATACATGTATCAGAATGTATTGTATTAAGAAATAAGCAGATAATGGAAAAGAAGGTGTGAGAACAGCTTATTCATTTTGCCTCTCTGGTTAAGAGTTCTCACTGGTTCCTCACTAATGACACATTGTAACATGTAATGAGTGTTTACTCTGTGTCAGGTACTATAGTAAGTACCTCCATAAATTATCTCATTAGCCCTGTATCCCAGATAAGAAAACCCAGGCTCAAAGAGGTATAGCAACTTGTCCCACATTACATAGCTGGTAAGTGATGATACTGAGATTGAAGCCCAGAAAGTTTGGCTCCAGAGCACCATTACTTAACCAAAAGGTTACTGGCCTTCTTTAGTTAGAACTTCATTACATATTAAATATTGAGAGGCTTGGAGTTCCCATTTCAGAGTGTGGATTTTTGTAGTTTTTAATAAGTTTCAAACTAAATAACCTCTTTTTTAAAAAAATTATTTATTTGAGATAGAGAGAGAGACAGAGATAGAAGAGCACAAGGAGAAAGGAGAGGGAGAAGCAGGCTTCTCACTGAGCAGGGAGCCTGATGTAGGCCTCCATCCCAGAACCTCCGGATCATGACCTGAGCCAAAGTCAGACACATAACCGACAGCCATTCAGGCACCCCTAAATAATCTCTTTATGTACTGTTATATATAAATAAATGGACTCTGAACCCCATCTGACTAATACTATCAAGTTCTGGTGGTCACAATAGCTAAACTGTGGAAGGAGCCACGATGTCCTTCAACAGATGAATGGATAAAGAAGATGTGGTCTATATATAAACGGAATATTACTCAACCATCAGAAAGGATAAATACCTACCATATGCTTCAATGTGGATGGAACTGGAGGATATTATGCTGAGTGAAGTAAGTAATTGAAGAAAGACAATCATCATATGGTTTCACTCATATGTGGACTATAAGAAATAGTGAAAGAGGCTATAAGAGAAAGGAGGGAAACTGAATGGGGAAAAATTAGAGACAAACCATGATGAGATAACTTCTAACTCTGGGAAACAATGGGTTGGAGAAGGGGGGCGGTATAGAGGGATGGGATGACTGGGAGACAGGCAGTAAGGAGGGTACTTGATGGGATGAGAACTGGGTTTTTTTTTTTTTTTCATTTTATCTATTTATTCATGAGAGACACAGGAAAAGAGAGTCAGAGGCACAGGCCGAGGGAGAAGCAGGCTCCATGCAGGGAGCCCGAAATGGGACTCGATCCTGGGACTCCAGGATCAGGCCCTGGGCTGAAGGCAGCACTAAACCACTGAGTCACCAGGGCTGCCCAGCACTGGGTGTTATACTATATGTTGGCAAATAGAATTTATTTATTTATTTATTTTTATTTTATTTATTCACTCATGAGAGACACAGACAGAGAGGCAGAGACATAGGAAGAGGGAGAAGCAGGCTCCATGCAGGGAGCCTGAATGTGGGACTGGATCCTGGGACCCTGGGATCATGACCCGAGCCAAAGGCAGCTGCTCAACCACTGAGCCACTCAGGTGCCCTAGCTAATTGAATTCAAATTAAAAAAAAAAAAAAGTTCTGGTGGTCAAAGTGGGCAGTCGGATAAATTGCACACTACAGGACACTGCTTTAGTAAGGTGACTACTACAAGCATACTTACTGCCTGTTACTCTGAGGAAAAGGGGCGGAAACCAAAATAAGCTCTCAAATCCGCAGGGAACCAACCGCGAAGCATGCAGGTGTTTATCTTGTTGTAATAGGAGACACGAAGAAGTACACAGGTGGGGGTGAAATTACTCTAGGTATAGAAATGGGGAGTTGTGGAGGCTATGGAAAAGCACTTTCATCACCTTTTTTGTCTGGAAATGGATTTGGCAAACTTGCCCTAATTGTTGAATTTACCCTCAAATGAAATTGGTTTTTAAGGATCATGAAGGCCATGGCTATGTTGGTTTCACTTGCCGCCTGGATGCGTAGCCAAGCACATTGCTTGACACATGGCAAACAGCCACGTATTTGTGAAAAGGAAGGAGAAAAGGAGAGAGAAAGGGACGAAAGTTATAAAGGCAGATCCAAGTTCTTTGAATTTGTGTGTATACCAGTCGTAAGTGGGTATGGACCTTTTGAAGTAACTGCTTAGGTGTTAATAGGACAGGGAAATAAATGAGAAAGCACGTCTGTCATGTAGTCGGGTACAATGTATACATATGAAATAAACCATCTGGGAAGGTCCTACTTGGATCAGTTCAGCTTCTCATGGGCAGCTTCATCGAAGTAAATCGATTTTGCTAGCTTGCCATTGGAATGGCCAGAGAGCCTGTGTGTGTGTAGGGATAGAGAGGTGTTGGCCTGGGGTTGAGGCTGGAGGGAGCAGCAGGAGCTGGAAGCGAGCTCTGGAGGCAGCTACTGGCGGGAGGGGGGAGGGGCGGGGCGCGCCTGGGCGGCTCAGGTCCCGATCCCCAGGTCCTGGGATCCAGGGCTCCCCGCAGGGAGCCTGCTTCTCCCTCTGCCTGTGTCTCCGCCTCTATGTGTCTCTCATGAATAAATAAATAAAATCTTTTTAAAAACCCCACAAAACTAGGAAGGGATATAAACTATGATCAGATTTTTTTTAAAGATTAAACTATGCTGACAATAGCTTTGACTGATGGAAAGGACACTGATATATATATATTTTTTGAGTCCTAATAACCTGCGCGTAGGTGTCAAGATCTCCCGTTTTAAAACTAGAAGGGTCATGTAAATTTTTCTTTTCTTTTAATTTTTTTATTTATTTATGATAGTCACAGAGAGAGAGAGAGAGAGGCAGAGACACAGGCAGAGGGAGAAGCAGGCTCCATGCACCGGGAGCCCAATGTGGGACTCGATCCCGGGTCTCCAGGATCGCGCCCCGGGCCAAAGGCAGGCGCCAAACCGCTGCGCCACCCAGGGATCCCTCGTGTAAGCTTTTCAAGCACCGTTCAGTTGATCCTAATGGGCCAGCTTGCCAGCAGGAGGAACATGCTGAGCTGATTGATGTGAAGATGAGCTTAAGACCACGCTGATCTCTAGGTGAGACAAGAAGAAAGTCTTGTTAGTGGGTGGGACAGCGCCTTGGGTGGAAGCGGCGAGTCTGGCGAGTCTGGCGAGTCTTTACAAGCCTAGAACGGGGCCGATAGAAACTGGTGAGACTCAGATTGTTTTCCATGCTGTCAATATATTAGATCATCGTTCTAAGTACATTTGAATCAAAGAGGAAAAAAGAAAAAATAGAGCGACGCGAGCGAGGCCGTACTTCCCAGGAAGGGCCGCTTTCTCCGCAGGTGGTTTGAGCTGTCCTCCGGAACCGTGGAGCACAGGGTCCTAGCACGGAAGGCCAGCACGGAAGCCCGGTTGTGACACCGCCACGGCGGGGGTTCGGGGTTCCCCGCCGGTGTGAAGCTTCTTTTGGGTTCCGCCCCTTTTCCTCTTGCTCTTTCTTAGTCCTTTCCCTTCCGTCAGTTCCGGAGAGGAACCCTTTTTAAGTCTCTCGCAAGTTGAAGCGTAGGACCGATTTCGTCAACACAATCCGGAACGGTCAACATGGCGGCTGCCGTAAAATGTGTGGGTCGAGGTAAAGCGATGCGTTGTCCGGGCTTGGGGGGAAATAGCTCTGGTGTTCTCCTGCCGTGAGCCGGACCCCCCGGCTCGGGTCTGCGCGGCGGGCTCGAAGGCTCCCTGCTGGTTCGAGTCTAGGTCCTCCAGAGGGTATCGCTACTCACAAACGGCTTCTCAGATGTTTCGCTCCTTTCTGGAGCCGCCTGCCCCGGGGCTGCAGTGGGAGGGCGGGCGCGCTGCTGCCCCTGCAGCCGCCGGCCGGGACCGAGGGGAAGGCGCGGTTCTGCCTCCAGGACGCGGGTGGGCTGCGCCGGAGAGTTTCGTAAGAGACGCGAGTTCCGGTGTGGGAAAGGTGGCGTGTTTCAGTGACCCAGAGCCGTGAGCTTCCGCAGCGTACGGGGCGCTCGCTGGGGCCTGCGGAGCTCGGCGCTGCGGGCAGTTCTGACCCGAAGGTCCAGGCGTTGTGTGATTTGCACCGACATTTGTCTTTGGGAGAGACTAATCGTGTCCTGCTTCTTGGCTTCTTGGTAGTGGCTCTTTTCCGGACTTAGTAAACGCCGCAGTTCATTGTCTAGGAGGACAGCCCTTTTTTGGTGCTTTTTTTTTTTTTTTTTTTTTTTGGTACATGCTTTTTGATTTTTGTTTTGTGATCTTGAAGCCCCGATACATATTGTTATTGATTAAGGTAGCTCTTTAGTTGGAGGCGGCAGCCAGCGTCACTCCTGTTCTACAGAGGAATAAACTGATCCCGTTCAAGTGTGTGGTAGCGCTCATGCAACTAGTGAATGGCTGGGGCAAAACAAGCTGCTCTCCTAGGCTAGAGATTTTCTTTTTTTTTTTTTTTTTAACCTACATCCTGCTTTTTCTCTTTGAGCTTCTTTTGGGAAGGCTTAGCGTCAAGACAGGATTCTGTGTTGGGGATAGTTGTTTAAAAGGGTGGTGATGACTACCAAGTGACCAAGCCAGAAAGTGTGTCTTTACTGAAAAGGGATGACACCGTATTAGACAAACCACAAAGAGAAGTGAGGATTATCATTTTCTTTCATTTTCTTCCTGCCACATTTTCTTCTCTTGGCGTCTAGCATTCCTCTCTTAATTTCCTTTTTATCTCACCTGTCGTTTCTCACATTACTTCGCTAATTCCACCTCCTCTCCCCAGTCTCTTACCTTGCAGTACCTCAGGAGCCAGGAACCCATCTTTAATCTCCATGCCTTTTTTTAAAAGATTTTATTTATTGATTCATGAGAGACACAGAGGCAGAGACACAGGCAGAGGAAGAAGCCGGCTCCATGCAGGGAGCCCGACGCGGAGACTGACACGGGACTCGATCCCCGGACTCCGGGATCAAGCCCTGAGGCAGACGCTCAACTGCTGAGCCACCTAAGTGTCCCCCAATCTTCATGTCTTTTGTATGTAAATTCATCCCTCTAGTGATCTCATCCAAGTTTCCTGGCTTTCACTATCATCTATATCTTAATGGCTCTCAAATTTTTATCTATGGTTGGGACCTCTTGTAAACTTTAGTTAGTTAGTGAGTAAAGGGATAGAAGTTTATTAAGCAAAGATGATAGAGAGAAAGCTCTCAGAAGTGGGAGGGGTCTCGACAGGGTTTCCCCTCTTGTGAACTTTAGATTCTTAAACTTATCTGCCAATTCTAGGTCTCCACTTGTATAGCTCATTAGTAGCACTTAACACTTGTCTGAAATCAGACTCATCATAGCCTGCAGTCTTCCCCCTCTCATTTGATGGTAGTAACTTCATCCTCTTAGTTGTTTGGGCCAAAAGCATATCCACAATTCCCTCTCTTTTTCCCACACTTCACATAAAATAGTTGACAAATTTGTTGGTTTACCCTCAAAATAAATCCAAAATTTATGTCCTCACTACACTATAGCAACTACCTTGCATGCCATTACAGTTCCTCACCTGGCATTCACTATGTTCTCAAAAGGTAGGGAAATTGGTCTTTTAAGAACCTAAATCATGTTACTCTTATTCTCAAAACTGTAAGACCTCCCCATTTTTCTTAGTTTTTTAGAATGGCCTACAGATGTGTTGTCCATATTGTTAGCCACTATTGAACACTTCAGGTGTGGTTAATCTAAATTGACTGTGACAAAGACATATTAGATTTCGAGGACTTAGTACCAAAAAAAGTAAAATACCTGAGTTTTTTTTATATTGATAACATGTTGAAATGATAATGTTTTGAGTTATTAGCTGTAATATGTTAATTTTATTAACTAAGTTCACTGGTTTCTTTTTTTTACCCTTTTTAACGTGGCTATTAGACAATTTAAAAGTATGTGTGTAGTTTACGTTCTACTTCCACCACTGGACAGCACTGGCCTAGGGTCTTCACACCTGCCTTATCCCCCCTGCTCACCCACTCACCCAGGTCACCTCTCTGACCTCTTTTCCAGCTACCTTTCTACTTACTCTGTGTTCTCTAGTCACATTGCCCTAATCAACACCAAGAACATTTCTGCCTTGGGACAACTTTTTCTTCCAACTGGGCTTGAACGCTTTTTCTAGAAATTTGTGTGACTGATTTTCTCATTTCTTTCAAATCTTTTGAACTTTTGTTCAAAATTATGTTTGTGAAATTCATCCATATAACACATAGTTTAGTCATTTTTACTCTTCTCTAGCTTTCCATTATAGGAATATACCACAATTTATTTATGCATTCTACTGTAGGTAAATGTTTGGGTTCTTTTCTGCAGTATTGCCATTACAAAGATATGATGATAATGATGATGATGAAGGATGATTTATTTTAATTCCAGTATAGTTGACATACAGTGTTACTTTCAGATATATAATATGGTGATTCAGCAATTCTATATATTGCTCAGTGCTCATCATGATAAGTGTATTTTAATCCTCTTCACCTATTTCACCCATCCCTCCACCCACTTCCCCTCTGGTAACCATCTATTTATTCTCTATAGTTAACAGTCTTTTTTTTTTTTTTTTCCTTTTTTGGTTTATCTCTCTTTTTAATTTTTTTTTCTTAAATTCCACATATGGGTGAAATATATAGTATTTGTTTTTCTCTGGCTGATTCATTCACTTATAATATCTAGATCCATCCATGCTGTTGCAAATGGCAAGATTTCATTCTTTTTTTATGGCTAAGTAATATTTCATAGTGTGTGTATACACAGACACCAATCCCACATCTTCTTTTTCCATTGATTGATGGATGGACTCTTCGACTACTTCCATAATTTGGCTGTTATAATAATGCTGCAGTAAACATAGAAGTGCATGTATCTTTTTGAATTAGTGTTTTCATATTCTTTGGGTCAATACCCAGTAGTGGAATTAGTGGATCATATGGTAATTTTTTTTCTATTTTTAATTTTTTGAGGAACCTCTACACTTTTTTTCCACAGTGGCTACACCAGTTTACATTCACCAGCAGTGCTCGAGGTTGCTTTGTTTTTGTATCCCTGCCAGCATTTCTTTTGTGTGTTGTTTTTAGCCATTCTGACAGGTTATGAGGTGCTGTCTCATTATAGTTTTGATTTATATTTCCCTGATGATGAGTGATCTTGGGAATTTTTTCATGAGTCTGTTGGACATCCATGTCTTTTTGGAGAAATGTCTGTTCATGTCTTCTGCCCATTTTTAAATTGAATTATTTGTTTTTTTGTAGAGTTTTGTAAGTACTTTATATATTTTGGATACTAACCTGTTATTGGATATGTCATTTGAAAATATCTTCTCCCATTTAGTAGGTCATCTTTTAGTTTTGTTGATTGTTTCCTTTGCCGTGCAGAAGCTTTTTATTTTGATGTCGACTCAGTAGTTTGTTTTTGCTTTTGTTTCCTTTGCCTCAGGAGAAACATTTAGAAGGATGTTGCTACAGCTGATGTCCGAGAAACTATTGCCTGTTCTCTCCACTAAAATTTTTATGGTTTCAGGTCTCACATTTAGGGTTTTTTTTTTTTTTTTTTTTAGATTTATTCATTTATTTTAGAGTTAGAGGTTGAGCAGGGGGAAAGGCAATGAGAAGGGGAGAAAAGATAGAATCTCAAGCAGACTCCCCTCTGAGCATTGAGCCTGATGCTGGGCACAATCCCATAACCATAAGATTGTGACTGAGCTGTAACCAAAAGTTGGATGCTCAACTGACTGAGCCACTCAGACACCCCTCACATTTAGTTTTTTTTTTGTTGTTGTTTGTTTAATTTTTTTTTATTTATTTATGATAGTCATACAGAGAGAGAGAGAGGCAGAGACATAGGCAGAGGGAGAAGCAGGCTCCATGCACCGGGAGCCCGACGTGGGACTCGATCCCGGGTCTCCAGGATCATGCCCCGGGCCAAAGGCAGGCACCAAACTGCTGCGCCACCCAGGGATCCCACATTTAGGTTTTTAATCCATTTTGAATTTATTTTTGTGTATGGTGTAAGATAATGGTCCAGTTTCATTCTTTTGCACATAGCTGTCCAGTTATCTCAGTGCCATTTGTTGAAGAGATTTTTTTCCCTATTGCATATTCTTGCCTAATTTGTCAAAGATTAATTGGCCATATAATTATGGGTTTATTTTTGGGCTTTCTGTTCTTTTCTGTTGGTCTATGTGTCTGTTTCTGTGCCAATACTATATTGTTTTGATTACTGCAGATTTGTAGTATATTTTGAAATCTGGGATTGAGATGCCACCAGTTTCATTTTCCTTTTTCAAGATCACTTTAGATACTCAGGGTCTTTTGTAGTTCCATACAAATTTTAGGATCATTTGTTCTAGTTCTGTGAAAAATGCTATTGGTATTTTGATAGGGATTGCATTAAATCTGTAGGTTGCTTTGGGCAGTTACAGATGTTTTAACAGTATTTGTTATCCCAATCCATGAGCATGGAATATCTTTCCATTAGTTTGTGTTACCTTCAATTCCTTTCTTCAGTGTTTTCTAGTTTTCAGAGTACATGTCTTTCCCCTCTTTAAGTTTATTCCTTCTTATTTTATTGTTTTTGGTGCAATTGTAAATGGGACTGTTTTCT